TCTTCATGGTTGGAGTGATGGCTTTGCGGATTGTGTAGTCGGACTAACCATTAGCCTTGAGAGCTTTGTGTACGTGCTTGAGTTCACTGGCAATGTGTTCCTGGTCGGAGATGCATTGGGCTATATAATTTAACATGTTTAACAGCAAAGTACGTATAGGTCTGGTGACATGCAGCTACACCATGTCGTTTCAGGGTGCTCGGGCAGTGTTGCTGGGCATCTCTGAAAAATAGTTGTATACCTCATTAGATTAATCCAGAAAATACGTACAGGATTCTGATACCGAGTGTGCCAACATACCAGGGACAGCCATACCCCCCTGCAGAATGTAGCCCATCAGGGCACCCAACAAAACTCCACGGTCGCATGGCATCTGTGTCTGCCACATCACTTACCAAAGAGAGTGCTAATGCCTTCGTGTGCATAACTACACAATGGTGTGCCAAGGGTAATTGCTTGGCCAAGGCTGCCACGGGGCATTTATGATCTCCCTGGGCCTTGCCTAGTAGGGATGACGCACCACGAATATTTAGCTGACATCTCAGGCAATGGCTTTTAAGCGGTGACATATGCATGTGTTGGCCACCCACGACCGGATGGGCCACTTACATTATGGGCCACTTACATTATGGGATGTCACAAAGATGCTGATATCACAACGAATTGTACGCAGTGACAATTTGTGAAATATGTATAAAACTACTAATTGTTTTGAAATTCATTGATGAAGTAATATATAAAATAAGGGCATTGTGATCCCAGAATTACTCTGCTGTACTGTACAGGGTTTTCGCAAGCACCAAAGTTGATTTTTTTTAAACCACAGTGCAAATTAATATAAACTCCAGCGTAAATACATTATCGAGTACTGCATTCGCTGACCTTTATTTAATTTTGTTTAAAACATGTTGCAGTCTACCGCTGACGTAAGATAATACAACATATGTCATCAAGATAACAGATTAAGATTGCTCCTTTAATCAATGTGATTACATTTGACAAGCCAGTTTGCTCACCCTTACAACCCCGATCACTCACCACAACTACTAAACAAACTTCCCCAATCCTCTTACCTCACCTCAAATTTTTATACAAAACAATTAGTGTAAGTGTTTTATACCATCACGTGTGTTTTGTCAGTTAATACACTTCAAGTAAATTGCAATCACAGTCCATTAATGCAGGATATAGGTTTACTACAAATACTTTAGACATGCTCAGCTCACATTGGGATATATCTGGACACAAATCCATTAAACATGCACCAATTCGTCCCTGTTAATCATCACGATATTTGTTCACAATTTGATTCATATACATAGTTCACAATGTGGCGCATCTTAAACCTCCAGTGGCTGCAGGAGTCATGTACACGTGGGGCACATCCTTTTTGTCAACCCACTACTGGGCGAGGGATTCCCCAATGCCATTACTGGTTGCAGAGTTTGTTTGACCACACTTCATCATGCTGGTCAATGTGCTTTGGTGAGAGTGGAGAGCATAGACATGGGATTATAGAAGTGGAGTACAACAATGTTTTTTTCTTCACTGCTCTTTACTGCTCACAACGTAGCCTTTTAGTCCGAATGTCCGATGGCAACCTGTTTGTTAACAGGAGTCACCCATCCAACGCTGGATCAACGTTGGCCCAACGTTTGCATGTTTACTGGGCAGGCTCAATCTGCTTAGCTTGCGCGATCTTACAAGATCAGGTGTATTGTGGGTGAGGTGGTCATAGTCAAAGATCTAATATAACCTCATTACATTCAAAATGTATATGAATCCAAATTGGTTCTCACATGCGTGATTCCATGCATGACGGAGAGCATTAGAATCAACGTAAAATATTGAATCGATTGGTTACAACACCGATAATCTCCATAAATACTGAATAGGTAAGTATGCTTCTGTAGGACTTGAGAAAACACGCGTCACGCGTTGGGTTGTGATACGGGACACGGGGGGACAGTGAGGGCAAACGGGGACATACTGTTGTTATTGTGCCAATTAAGGTGGTAAGGTAATTAACTAAGGCCTGCAGGTGTTCGGGGTAATCGAGGACGCAGGCTGGTGATTGGTCGAGAGGTGTGAGTGTCTGAGATTGGCGCCGTGGTGTCTACAACAACAACATTGCGTGACACTGGGGGCCGGGGGCGAGTAGCGAAGCGGGGGATGATCTAATTGATTGGGGCAAATTGGTTCGGAGATAAAGAGAGGGAGCGTGGGGAGAAACGGGAGTTGGTTGGTGCCTGGGACAAGAGACAGAGAGAGGAAGAGACGAAGCAGCAGACAAGGAGTGTATAGTATAAGGTAGCAGTGGACAAAGAGAATATAGTATAAGGTAACAGTGGACAAATAGAATACAGTGTACGGTAACAGTGGATAGAGATAATACAGATAGAGTAGCAGGGATCGAGCGAGTACAGCGTAGGGTAGCAGCGGAGTAACGGACCTTGGTGGAGAGAGAGAGCGCGAGCGAAGCAGCGGAGCGGAGCGAATGGAGGAACTTTGAGTGATGCCGACGGAGGAGATGTGAACTATATGCGTTAATAAAGAACCGAGAAAGACAAAGAAGCTGTCGCGTCAGTACGAGTCCTAGACTTCTATACCAAATAAAGGTCACAATTCTTTGATAGATTTGGCGTAGATAGGAAAGTTACACGAATTTGTTGCAGTACATTGATCATGCAGAGTGTCCGCAGGCCAGTGGTGGATTGGCCACAACCCTGAAATATTGATGACCTGCTTGCTGCGACTGTACCTTAACTCCTCAACACCACAATCCATCACAGCTGTCATAATCCATATAGGATAACATCAAAATGCAGACAGCGCTGGGAGCTGGGAAAAAGTCGAATACATTAGCACAGCTGCTAGACCCCGAGTCACATTCCACCTTTGACCCTTTGCCACAGTTGAAATGCTCAGTAATGAGCACTGTCCTGCAGCTTGTACTGTGGCGCTTCAGACAGCTTGCCATCTGCGTGTGTGTGGACCATCCTCCGCTCAGGGAAGGAAACTGCCAAACAACAGGGAGTGGCTCATCTTCTACTTTATTTTAAACTTATAATTAGTATTTTTCAAATTAAAAAAAGTTGTTCAAGAGTGGAAAATTTGGGGGCTGAAACATATCTCAGCTTTTAACATGGGAGTCAAAGGGAGAACGATGATCACTCAACGAGTTTTCGCTTAACGAGCAAAATTTCGTAGAACGTATCTTGCTCCTTCAGTGAGACATGCCGGTACAGGAATTTCGAGTCTGTGTGCCATTGGCTGTGTCGTTCCCTGCTGAATATTTTTTTTATCTGAATCTTAATTTACATGATGAACCCTTTAACGTGTTAGATTATTTGGCTGCGATAAATGTCCAAATGATAATCCACTTTATTGAGCTATCATTTGTGGCCAGGTCAATTTTGAAAAATAAGTTAATACCTCAGTAGGCTTTGCCTAATAGCATGGGAATGGTTTAGTTTTATTTATATGTGTTTGGGTGATTTCATATTCTTGGGTATTACGGTAAAGGCAGAAAATAACAAAAAATAACAAAAAACTACGACGTATCGATCCGCTTGTGTTGCGATCGAAACGTCGTAGTTTTTTGTTAATTTCTTTGAACCTATCTACGTGACTTTACCGAAGGACCCAATAATATGAATTCCTGCAGTCACGAAAGCTTTAAGTCAAGATTTGGGTGATTTGTTTACCTTTCTTGTACTTTGCACTCCTATCGTGTTTGTGTAGTGTTTGTTGTTGTAACCTCTTTGCCTCGTCAGTCTGTGACCTACAGCGCGCACTTGAACGGTATGATGCCGAGTGTGAAGAAGGCCGGGATTAGGATCAGCACCTCCAAAGCTGAGTTCATGGTTCACTCCCGGGAGAAGGTGGATTGTTCTCTCCAGGTGAGGGGCGAACAGTTGCCCTTAGTGGAGGAGTTTAAGTACCTCGGGATCTCCTTCGCCAAGTGAGGGTAAGTGGAGGCGGGAGATTGGCCGGCGGATCAGTGCAGCGTCCACAGTCTAGCGGGCGATGTACCGTTCCATGGTAGCGAAGCAGGAGCTGAGTTCTCGAACAAAGCTCGCGGTTTACAGGTCGATCGACGTTCCCACCCTCACCTATGGTCATGAGCTTTGGGTAATGACCGAAAGGATGAGATCGCGAATACAAGGTGCAAAAATTACATTGCTCCGCAGGGTTGCCGGGCTCACTCTCCGTGATCGGGTGAGGAACTCGGTAATCAGGAAGAGCCTCAGACTTGAGTCGCTGCTCCTCCGGATTGAGAGGAGCAAGTCAAAGTGGTCAGGGCACCTGGTATGAATCCCCGCGGTAGACTCCCCCTGAAACTCTACCGGGCAGCATGTCCCACTGGGTGAAGACCCCTGGTGCCGGCCCAGAACACGCTGGTGGGACTATGTCTACGTGTTAAACGGGACTATGTCGCTTGGCTGGCCAGGGAACGCTTGTAAATTCCCCAGGAAGAGCCAGAGAGAGGGAGGTCTGGACCAACACAACTCAACATGCTGTTGCCGGAAGCCTCACCAGAACAAGCGGATTGAGATACGAACGAACTGGCCTTTAATTTGAAGTATGGTACTTACATTTGTTTCCCCAACTCATTTTCAGAACAAAAATTAACACACCATGCAGCGTTCTTATGGATTTAGGTTTAAAATAAAATAACCTTTCATTGATTACATTTATTAAGTAAATCACACGTAAAATATTTAACAATTCCTTCCAACCAACTGCCTATACAGAAGGGAGTCGTGTAATGAGCATTGTGCTCAGCCACCTTTGTTTCGGCTTCTTTGTTTTACGAGTTATTTTTTAAGTCTACGTATGTATATATGTTGAACTTCTTTCACACCGCATGTAGCCAACCATTATAAGCGGAGGCGAGATCCCTTGATGAAAGGCGCTTAATAAAATTACATAACGACTCCTAATGTTGATCATACCCCAGCAGGTGCTCAATTCAGACGGAGTGGCATCGGGTGAATATCTAGAGCAGGCGCAAATACCAATTTTCCATTTGCATTGCGCATGGCCAGATATTGAAACGTAATGACTTGGATTCTAACAATGCGCACTCATCACTAAATCTATGACTGCACAAACAAGCATACCAAAGACAAAGACACACTAAGACACAAATTATTAATTATATACAGCTAATAAATGACACAACTAATGTTCTGTACATCGATAAAAAAAACAACCATTAGTTTGCATTTTTAAACAATAAAAAAAAACTTTATTACGTGGTTGCACAGAGTTCACACAAAATAAATATCTCCATTTTGTTCTGGATCGGGCATGTTGTCAAATGAACAGTTTTACAAGATGTGCGTTAATATGAAAAAGCATTCTTTTAGAGCTATTACGCGAAAGTGGTTCAGATTGTTTTTAGTGATTCCATCCACAAAACATGAACGTGCAAAACCAATCGTGTACTATATATCGAGACTATCATTCTAAGTGTATCCACAACATGTCACACACAAGTCACAAATTATATGTTAAAAATGCCATTGAATGAGCACACAAGGTACATGGGAATACAAGATTTGAAAAAAAAAATGCATTCTCTCTTCTCATAAAAGACTGCCTCATGAAACTAATGGTCGATAGTGGTTCTAAATGCATTCTCACATTCCCATTACAACGATGACAAAGTTTGTGCAACATAAAAAAAGATGTATTTAACATTTAATTACAAAGTGTTAAATCCATCCAAAAATTAAAGAAGTGCAGATTAACGATTTATAAATGTGAAAACCTCCTTTTCTGAATAGTTATTGGACCGGAACCAAGGCTGTTGTAATCAAATAGGCCCACTTGATGCAGAGAATATTTTCTGAAAATCTATCAGTACCATTTTGTAACTTTAATACATGTTTTACGACACATTAAGCAATCACTGAAAGTAAACACGTGTATTTCAAATATTTAAACAAAGTGGCACGTTTAGCACAATTTGAGACGTTTTATTCATCAAAATATTGGTCAACGGGGCACATGTTGAATCAAAGGTGAAAAACTATCGTGCCTTGCAAAGATGAGACTTCAAAAAGCACTTTACACTCTGTGCAGAAAATATTTAGATGAAGTAAAAGAGAAACAAAAACATCCAATCTGAGATAAGAAATGTCAGTCAAGGATGCATTTGTCTACCATGGCACAAGTCACGCACTTGTATCAGGTATGTGTATCAAGCATTATGGACAGGATTGGTTTGAATTCTAAAAAGCGTTTTTATATAAAGGTAAAATATATTTTTGGCACTTTTGGTGACAAGGTGAATATTTTGGCACCACTTTCCAGCTTTTGGAGATGCAGCAGATCATTGCACGGACACATTATTCCTTACAAACGATCAGAATTTAGTACATAAGAGAATGGCACGGGACTTGCGTGATTGTGGGAAAAAAATGTTGAAACTTTTCAGATTGTTTTATCATTTAAAATAATTGTTTCAATGGATGACCGAATGTTCCAAAACTACGTGTGTCCTGCACCACTGATGGACCGTGATTATAGCTTGACAATTAGTACAAATGTATGAGGAAAGAATAAGAAGCTCGATATTCAGAATCCTTCTACGAGCACCAACTCAAATTGTGCCTCACTGACAATAATATATATAGCACACTACTATGGTTAGTCCACTTTGTGGTTGCTGAAATATTGTAGGAACGAGTAAAATTTACTCAACGTAAATGAGTGGCACTGGGATGCACCAGGGTCTCTGGAACGATGCAAATGTACTTCTTTACAGATCTCGAAATGGCTGGATCTAAAGAACCTCCCATTGATCTCCCCAACAGTGCAAGCAAAGCTAATTTTCCCAAGAAAACATTTGCAAGTGTTTTACAATTCTGGTATGTTCTTTTATCCGCAAACCCTCAAAAATTGTGCCTACATCCGCATGTGTTGCAACAATCTGACAATGCGCTGTTTAATGTTTGTACATTTTCCGAAAAAAACCCGAAATGAAACATTGTTTCTTCTTCCAGCTTGGGTACCTTGTTTCCTCTTCAACATACAGCTGTGATAGTCAACCAGTATTGAGCAGGGCTAAAACAGCGGATGCACGAGTGTAGAATGTATTATTCCCATGAACAGATACATTTTATTGTGCTAATACCGTGTTCACCATCTACTTAGTAAACAGCAGGGTTTTAATCCACGGTAACTTCAAGAAATATGCAATGTTATGTTTAAGTCGCATGGTCGTATCTCATTCAAGTGATCCTGTCAACTATGTTAAAAGGGAGCAACGTGGAAGTTTCTGTAGTGTCCTATTATAATGAACTTTCTTCAAATCACACAAATTCAACTCCGTTAATTAGGCAGTCTGCTTTTATAATTTCATCGTATTGTTTCTAACAATAATGCTAAATTCGTTGTTTTTAAATCTGATTAATACACTCGTAATAACTTAACAGTGCTAGAACAAGTCAAATATAATACCCACCGATCAATTTCACAAGATGACCACTGTCCATGTGTATAGCAATTCTATACATAGCAATGCAGCTGTACATCCCTTGACAGGTGAGGTTGATGTGAGAAAGAATGATTCTCTGTTTGTGTTCGTGTGCACATAGCATGCACATCTATTCTCAATGGCATCATTGAGAACAAGCAAAAAAAAAACTCTCTCTAAAACATCTTCAATACTGACATGACTCATTCTACACAATAATGCCTTAACAGTAAGGATTGCAGCTCAGAACAGCCGGCTCTATTAGCAAATACATCTGCCCCAACCCACCATTAAAAATATCTATATTTATACGGTGATACAAACTCCTTGAAGAGTGTAAAATATTTATTTTATTTTATTTCTACCTACGTGACTTTACCGAAAGAACCAAAGAGTATAGTGTAAAAGATTGTTCGCACAAAATAGATGTCGGCACGGTCTTTAAAAAAACATTTCTCAAGATGCAATTATGCCTTTATTTTTAAACGCGGAATGCATATTCATATACTAGAATTTACATATACGTGCACTACCTTAAAAAAACACTTGAAACAATGCGTTTAATGGATAATGAAGATGTTTATGCTTCAACAGGAGAATCAGAGAGATGAAACATTTTAATAGTTTTGCGTAAGTTATCTTACGATGCTATAAACAAATGTGACTGAGTGCAAGTTTCGGCCGTGCTCTGAGAATTTCAACAGGTGCAATGCAATCAAGTGTCAGGTGTTTACCGGATTAAAACAACATTTGAGAGTCACCTTTCATGTAAAAGAAAAAAAACACATTTCACACAGAACTATTGGGAAATAAATTACACTTTGCAGTAGGGTAAGATGAGCACTTTTTGTAAGCAGCAATCACTGGCACATTTCACATCGCCCAGCAAGCACGTGGATCGTTGTGACAATGACATTTTTGTATTTAAATCACCATCTTCAGCAGTGGTAGGTGGCACGTCAACAGCTCACATCACCATATGGATCCGCCAAGATCAGTCCTAAGACCAGGACAGCTCAGACAGGTTACAGCACAGCTGTGGCAGATAGAGTTGCGGCTCTATCTCCCAGATCGTGTTCAATTAAAGATACCGATCTGCGATTTGGCAATGCCTTGTCTTTTGCCATGGGGTTGTGCAAGGACTAGCAGTGCCACATGTTCCACGTGTATTCATGGAGTAACCTTGTGTTTTTCATTCGATGTTTAATAATGATGCGACTTCGAAAATCTGTATTTTTCCAGGAGAAATCCCATGAGCTACGAAGCTCTTTACAGATGTCCAGTAGATCAATGAGGACTAAAACAAAGATCAACAAACTCCGACTGAAATTAAAATAATAAAAATTTCTTTTAAAATGAATGAGATGTAAGAGAAGTTACCATGAGACTGGGTATAACCTGTTAAGCCCCGAGGTGGAACTAAACTATAAAACCCGAGATACAGTTTATATAAGCCGATGTGAGTCACTAAATATAAAAGCCAAGGTTGTACAGAGATTCATGGCCATGACATTTTCATTGTATTGAAAGCAGTGTATGCATTACGAGAATGTTCACCTCTGCTTCAAGTCATAAATTGGGGACTCACAATACAGATGGTGTGTGCAATGTTTTAAGACTAATAATTCCACACGTTTTTTCACTAAATATACAAAATGGAATTTTAACTGGAAATTATGTGTTTTCAAAACTCACTTAAGCATGTTAGGGTCAGATATGACTTGGAATTAAAATAACATACATGTGTGTGTGTAGTCTAGCCTATCCATCTGGACACGGCCGACATGTTGTGGGAAGTCCTTCATCTAGCAGTTCAATAGTTTTACAAAGGCTGTAAATAATTATTCATATTACTACTACTACCGCATATCATATCTTAATGTATATAGCGTCTTGTCCAAGGTAGTTCAACAAATAACGATTTATTTGTACAGCGGCACAGTGTCATGAGATGAGCCAAACTAATGAGAAGGATGGGAGTGCAAGATGAGTATGATGCGTGAAATAAACAATGATGCGAGTGACAAGGAGTGGTTAATAATGATGAGTGAGTGTGATGAATGGGTAGAGAAGTTGGCAATAGGGATGATGATGGTGTTAATAATGGGGAGGGGAGGGGAGGGGGAAGAGCGAGTTTGGGTAAGCGAGGGAAAATAAGTGAGTTTTAAGGGAAGAACGAAAAAGAGGCGGTGAGACTGATTGTTTGACGTGTAGGGTGCAGCCTGTTCAAGTATAAGGGGGCCAGAAGCGAGAACGAATGGAATTGGTGATTGGGCACTACAGAGGTAGGGGAAGAGAGAGCTGGGATTGTGAGCAGAGAAGGTGAGAAGGAGCATAAAATTAAATGTTTATGTCCGCTTTCATGTGTAACATTGTCCTGATTAATGTAAGTAAAAATGATGTAAACGCCAGTTGAATTAGTTCAACGCAGCAGTACAAAAGACAGCACGAGTTTATGTTGTTTGTTTCAATATCACTTTTGAGAGTAAAATAGTGATACCTCAACATTTTCAAGGAACCAGCCAAATTGAACGATAGATGCAGGAAAATGTTTAATCAGGGAACATTCTAATGATGTCAATGGAAACGTCGGAGCCTTTAAAATAGGATGCTAATCAAGGGAAAATGTACAAAGAGAAAATGTAATATTTGAAAGTATTGTAGATGTCCATAATATCGTTTTTTTATTAGAACCTCTATTATGGATGATATTGGTCGCCAAAGCCTTTGTGATATATTGTAGATGTATGTATGCTGAATTTATCTCGCACTGTACGTAGCCAACCATACTAATGCATACAGACACCCTTGCATATGAACAAAGTCAATTCCTGTCGGTTCATGTTTGGCTACATTTAATCAGAAGTATAAATATTGATATATGTCATGGATGGTTGCTTTCCCAGTTTTATGGGTACATTAAGGTAACCTATGAAAGATTCGGCACATGTTAATATTTCCCAGTGTTTAATGGTCCATTTACAAGGCTGGAGAGCCTAGTGGTTATCCCAACAGGTGGCTGAAATAATCTCAATTACGTAATGTTGCAGGGTATTATCAAAGTAGGCCATGTGACCTAAATGCCCAGTAGCATTAATGTTTATTTTAGAGTAGATATTGCATGTCAGTGTCATTGACAAAATGTGCAGGTACCATAGCCCATTTTTATAAAACGTAAAAAGGACCACCAGTTTAAAAATAAAAAGAGGACCAAGTGAAGGCCACTCCCTTGCATCAGGGTTAATTGAGACCTGCCCTATCCTGGGAGCATTTCCTTTCGACTAAAATGGCAGCATGGAAATGACACACAAACTGATATTAAGAAATGTATGCATTCTTGCGTGTCCACAAATGGCACAAAATATAACGGCACGATATGCTACGTGTCAAAGGTATATAATATGGGACTGATGAAGACAATAATAAAAAATTACAAGAACATAAAACTGTTATTAGTGCAACAAATTGTGCACGTGCATTCAGGCACAGTTACACCAACAAGGATGATGATTTCACACAAATCCATCAAGTTCCCTATACGTAGCTACAGAGAAGGCGACTTCAAATACTTTCCTATCATCGTCATTCGTTTAACAACATAGGAGGAAAGGTAAGGCGCTTTACAACTTTTCTGGCTCAAATAAAGCTGCAAGCAAGTAGCAGATATCAAAACTACCCTCAATAATATTTGGTAAAACCTTGCTATGTGAATGAGAGGTTTAAGTATAAATAGTAGCAGTGTATTATTTCCAACTGCAAATGGGACGATTCAAACAAGTCGATAAAAAACAGTGATTTAAGGAGATAACCGTTTCGATTTTTTTCTAGAAAACAGTTGTGCAATATTAGGTGAGTGTTACGATTTATTTTTTAAATACAGATTGGTTAAGTACCTGTAGTTCTTAAAACCAACTGTAAAATTGATTACACAGAAATTCACACTGTTCATCTTGTATACACTTGGACACAATTGCCAAGCGATAATCAAAGATCCAACTCAATTAACAGATTGGCCTTTCACAGCTTCCTTTCCCATTAAACGGAGACTGACATAAGTGACCATGAATGAAAGTGCGCTGTGCCTGTTTTGTAGGCCTAAGAGCTACAAGGCCTGCACAACAATTTCTCGTTTATAAAATATATATCTGCGTCACAAAAATGTATGCGACTGAAATATTAACAGATGTTTAATATTTTGCCTAATTTAAGGCAAAAAAATTAGATTTGTTTATATTCTCATGCTAAACTTATGACTTGCAGATATTTTCAAGGTGATTTCATGCTTGCGTAGATGAAGAAATTTCCAAGAAAATTGAAATGCAAAAACAAAAAATTACACAAGATGTAACAAATAAAACAAAATACTCTCTGTATAACGATGTGGGGACAAGCATGACAACGCTGACCAATGCCATTTATTCCCCAGCACTAGCTTATATGATTAAATCAACAACACATCACTGGATGTGGAACACCACCACTGCTGCTGTATTACAACATAAACAGACATGTCATTTGTGAGATGAATGCTCTGAATTCTGAATTAATATAGTTGTCAAAGATGGACTTAAAGGTTTGATAAAGGTTGCCTGGAGCTAATTTTACAGAAATAAACAGCACCATTATACGCACAGGCTGGCATGAGACAACACATTGCATGTGTCCAGTGCAATGTTACACACAATAATCTCTTTGAACCTTTACTGCTAGTCACACAAGGTAAACCGTCCCTATCAACAAGCAAAAGCAAATGAAGCAAACCCAGTTCAGTGGACACAAGTGAAGTGAACAGGTGTCCAGTTTACAAAACCGGTGCTAAGCTTTCATTTGGTTATCCCCAAGCACAGCATTTGCATGCCACATATTCCGCTATGCTCCTACGCTTCCAAGAAACGTGTGATGGGCAATTCAAGAGGAATCTTCTCCACCGGGCCCACCTGGCTTTGAAATCAAAGGCCGCCACCAGTATCCTCGACAGAGTGGCAACCTCGCGTGCCCCCCCACACTGCATGTGGCTCAGGTTCACAAGGGGCAGACCAGTGGGCTGATGTGATGACCGATGGGCCTTACTCGTGAATGCCCCTGTCAGTACACCCAGCTGATTGGCACCCACTGGGGCTCCTTGACCAGCCTCTCGAGGTAAGCGCGCAGATTTGCAAAGGCCTCGTCCATGTTGTCGTTGACTATCGTCAGGTCAAAGTAGTGGATGTATGCGCGTTGAATGCGGGCACTCTCATCCACCGTCTTCTTCAGGTCAGCGTCCTGTGGCAAAGAAATTGCAATGTTACCACGCCGACTCCCGAGCAGTAGGCATGGCCAACCCATAGGCCACACAGCTGGCACAGTCAGACAAATGATACTGGAAAATCATAAGTACTGAAGCTTGAATTAATATGTTACCTTGAGTATATTACTGCAGCCATTCTTAATCCACGCCTATGTTGATTCTGGAGTATTTTGACTATACTTTAGCACGGAACATAGATAAATAAATAAAATGATGGTCGGTGCGTATTGACAAAGGGGGGGTTCTGATATCACTTGTACTGATGTTAGCAAATCAGTCATAACATTTTTAAATAAACACCCCAATGAAAGGCCCCCTTCAAAGAGTAGCAAGATGCAGCGACACATTCCTGAATAAGTAAAGGACTATGATTATGTGCGCCTGAGCTTTTACCAGGTAGAGCTTCGTGTTTAATATTCAACTAAAACTATACCATACATCAGCGGTGGCCAATACATGGATCACGATCCATGAGTGGATCGTATTCCATGAGTAGATCGCGATCCATGAGCAGATTGCAAAACATGTTTTTGTCGATCTCAGGACAAATCAGAGCACTAACATAAGCACTTAATAATTTTCATGTGGCTGATGGAAAATAAAAATCCCCGACTAAGAATTCATACATTTAAAAGAAAACGTATACCAATTGATGGTGTTGGTACATTATGTCTATACTGTAGTATGTTACAGGGCTGCATGTATGTTGAACTTTTTTCACACCGTACATAGCCAACCGCGCTAATTAGATCCATCCGGGTAATTGTTGGTCATAGCCAGGGCTGAGTAACATGTGGCTCTTTAAGGACTGCTTTGCGGCATCATTCACATGCATTGTACCCCTGATCATGGCTTTCTAGTGGATTATGGAACCCATTGAGATCCACCAAACAGGATCACAGTGCTTTGTGTATTGTATAAAATGAGAACTATTTCTTTTCACGTGGCTTTCTGTTATTTCTGGAGTCAGCAGGTTACACTCACCAAAATAAGCAGTTATTTTGAACCAGTCCAGGGCCCCCACTTCGACCTACAGGAGGCCCAGGACCGGGTCAGATAATCATCACTGGTATTGGCCGTGAGTGGGAACTGAACTCTGGTTGCTGGGTTCTTAGTGCTTTATGCTAACCTTTGTGCCATCACTCCCTACACTGAGGACATAAAGATAAAGATCCCCCTGTATAACCTTAATAGACTGTTGCAACAAGTGCTTAGAAAGCACCTTTGAAGGCCAGTACGAGGGGGTGGGGTGGCCAGCACCATGCAAGACCACCTTTGTCTCCTTAGTGACAATGTTTACACACCGCACCAGGTACTCATTTGAGATTGAGTCGACCGAGTGGAGGCCCAGGACCGGGTCAGATAATAATCACTGGTGTTGGCCGTGAGCGGGAATTGAACTCGGGTCACAGGGTTCGTAGCGCAGTGCCCTATCCGCTGGGCCAATGCTCCTCACACTGAGGACACACACTCACTTTCACACACCTGCATGTAGACGCGCAGTGGGATACTCACGGTGAGATGTTTTGCGGTGAGGCCAGCGTCAAGTGCTGCCTTGTGCATAGAGCGGAGGATCTCCACCGATGGAGCAGCGATGAACACCACGTAGGGCATGAACTCGGCCGTCCGCAGTAGCTTCAGTGCCTAGAGCGGGGCACACACGGCACGGATCCCTCGGGCACATTACCACACCGCTCTGTGGATCACAGAGTGGCATCAGTTGACGTGGTGACATCATCCTGAAACCTGTCATTAGCCTTCTTATGCAACAAGAAACATGATAATTATCAACAATAATTAAGTTTGTGGGTTTGTGTGTGGTCGCGCGCTTGGCTCTCCAACGGTGGGGTTTACGTAGAAAACAAATAGCCAGGCACCACGCCGTAAGCCCCATGGTCAGCAAGCGCTATTCCTTTTTCACACCCGTCAACTTTAAACTAGTTGAATTAGCGATTTAGTGCGATTTTTGTGCGCTAGAATTGTATTTATTTATTTATGACGCCTGCACGACCGTACCAACTCACGCGCCTTTGGTGGGGGGGCGGCCCATGCCAAGTCGCACGCCTTCGGTGGGAGTAAGGGGGACATTTTCTTTCACGTAAAAAATGCTTTAAAATTACACTAAACGCTGAGCTTAAATCTTTACTGTGTGATGTCCCCCCCACCCTGATGCGTGCAGGCACTAATAGATACAGTCGCTAAATGCTACCACTATAGGCCGTAGATATTACTGCAGAGCGGCCGGGGAGATCGTGGCTTGGGAAGCGGTCAGAGGTAGCAGCCCAGCCCCAGCCTGCCAAGGTGCCACCTCGGCCGGCTGGACAATCTAGGCGAGGCCGGAGGCTCTGCATGAGACTAGGCCTCACCACGCCGCTCTGTCAGTTGAGTACTTTGTGCTATAGAGTCGATAAATACTGCTATAGAGTCAGCATGTACTACTGTCGTGATAGCAGGTACCACCACAGTCGGTATGCACTGCTGTAATCATAGCAGGTACCACCACAGTATGCACTGCTGTAGTCATAGCAGGTACCATCATAGTCATTACGCACTTGCTGTTAGATTTTTTTAAAGTAGCTTTGAAATATTTTTATACATAAACTTAATATTGTAATAAAGCACATTATTTTTTTTCTTCAGAAATTAATTTTAGATTTTAAGCTTTCGTGACTGCAAGGATTCATATTCTTAGGTTTTTTCGGTAAAGTCACGTAGGTAAAAAATTAAAATTGATAAAAGTAAAATAAAAATAAAAAATCACAACGTTTCGGAGGCAACACAAGCTTCCGTCTTCAGGTGGAACCGTCACAGCCCGACAGCTGTATCAAGTAAATGAGAGATTACAAGAGATACCACTCCGTATATATAATGGTTGAGGGGGGGGAAGGGCCAGGAACGGCCCACTTTTTATTATTATGGTAAGGTGTGGCTTGAGACTACGAAGAGACTACATAACAAATGACTGAGCCTTTATTATGGAGAGGTGCGGTTTGTGACTACGCCTAGCCTACATAACAAAAGTGTGGAGGTAGCTCTCCGATCTTACATTTACATGCAAATTTCTCACTTTAACATCACTAGCCCTGCCCACTTCACTTATGACCTTTGGGCTACACCCATTTCAAACCTTTAAAACATCCTGCCTCAGCAGCTTTCCCGCATATTTTTCTCCTGATGAAGATTGCTTGTGTTGCGATCGAAACGTCGTAATTGCTTTGTTATTTGATTTTAACATATCTACGTGACTTACCGAAGGACCCAAGAATACGAAAGTTTTAAGTCAAGAAATAACTGACTCATTATGACAACAGTCTTCAGGGCGTTTAAAGTCATATATCCACGTTGGAGCAAATTTTATTTGCACCTCCGATTAGAACGGTTGGCTACGTACGGTGTGAAATAAGTTCAACATTCATCCATCCATGGGACAATAGAAAAATAATGCAAATAAAGTACAGCAATGAATTCAAATATAAATCGGCTCAAAAAAACAACTGCGTCACGTGAGAAATCACCTGGGGGTTCACGTCCAGGATGCACATCTTGCCGGCGCGCACCACGCCGTGGATCGACTCGATCTTGGTGCCATACAGGTTTCCCTCGTACTCGCCGCTTTCAAGGTAGCAGCCAGATTTAATGTCCACCTCCATGTCAGCCCTCGCCACGAAGTGGTAGCCCTGGCCGTCCTTCTCGTCGTCCCGTGGCCGCCTCGAGGTAACTGCGGGCCGGGGGTGCGGACGGGAGCCCCCCAGGCGAGGGTGTTCGGCGTAGTCAGACGATGCGCCATTTTTTTAGGACAAACTAATCGTCGCACATCTCGGAAATCTTCACACCCCCACGCCTGCTCACGATTGTCTCGCGTTATTTACAGAGTGTGTTCCAAACATTGACCTCCAATGTGTAATTACTCGTGCTCAGTAAATCTTTGAGGATTTAATTTTGTTAAACTGGGTCACGATCAATACTCTCTGAGTATTCCAATTTACAAATACAATTTTATTTTTATTTTATTTTATTATTTCCATTCTACGTGACTTTACCGAAAGAACCAAGAAGATGAATCCCTGCAGTCACGAAAGCTTTAAATCGAAAAATAAAATCTACTTAATATTTACGTAGGACGATAGCTGATTGTCTGCAAAAGTGTACTTTAGGGATATAATTGCTCTATAATGCTACAAAATAATGATGTGTATGTTCTAAATCTGCATTTTATTAAAAGCCAAAATATTTTGCTGAAATTAGAGTACATTTGTTATGTTACATAATCTTGGTTATGGAAGTAAATTGATTGAGGTTATTTGAACCGTATGGCGGGACCCCAGGGTCCCTTAAGCTCCCGGCTCTTGCATAAATATTATATTATAATGTCAACAAAAACTTTGCTCTTTATCACCAATGGCTTTGAAGGATAATGGCAAGTGTTGTTAAACTATTAACTATGCCTTTAAAACTACTTACCTGCAGTACCTCTATTTAAATACACTATCGAAAAAATTATCTACACCCCTCTGTCAATCATCGTGTTTCTCAGTGTGGATTTGTGAACGCACTTTGTAAACAGTACATAAAATAGTACGCCTTTTCAATGCGCTGTTCATATTGTAACAAGCGTTTATACCAATGTTACTCTACAGAGTAGTGGGTCGCCGCTCCTCTTATCCATATCGATATGAGCGGTTTGTGGGGACTATCTGCACAGATCCATACAGACAAGATAAGTATTATCAAACAGGAGGAATTAACGGTGCAGCGCATCTCATCTGTTAAATATCTGCAGGTAATAGGATTGTCATCGATTGATCCTGGCAGCAGACATTGGTTGGTCACAAATAATAATGAAGATAAGAGAGCAGTATCACTGTATGATGCATACCGTTATGACAAATAAAGGACTTAAGTCGTGCAGGCAGTTTGAGCAGCTTTGGATATCACTTATTATGATCCTGCCCATACCCGAGCATGGAGTGCATTCGCTTGTTCAGCTCTTCTGTGCATTTGTTCTCGCTGCACTTGGACGACATGACAACAGAATGATCCGCGCTAGGTGGGTCACGGCATTTATGTGCGCGGTAGGATGGAGTCGTCAAAAATAAATTAATTAATTACGATTTTTACGTACGTTTATTCGGGACCCCGGGGACCCGCCATAAGGTTAATTTACTCCTTACGTATCGTGATCAGCTGGAAACAAGGTAGAGCAACACAGACATACTACTTCTAAATGCAAGTTGTGTTCGTGCTTGTCATACAATAACTATTGAAAAAAAATGTCACGTGTAATTGTTTGGGCATTCACACCAGTGATAGTGTAAATCTCAAGTTTAAATTTACTATTTATGTGCTGAGCATTGAGGTTTTTTAAAATAAAACTATAAAACATGTGTCACTTTCTTATTATCGAAAAATCAAAACGTGCTAAAGTAATAATTTCAACTTGTAACGTGCCGTATGACACAGGACAAGTGAGAAGACAGCAGCCACAAGGTGAGCTGGCGATAACTGCCAAAGCTCTGCTGTCCTCATAAATGAAGGTGTTATCAGCAAATTAATTCGCGTTTATACGCGGGAGGAAGTTGGAACACCCGGAGAAAGCCCACGTGTGCAAGGGGGTAACACTATCCTGTACAGACCGAACAGGTGAGGTCTATATTTGCTCTCTTGCCTTCTCCTGACAAGCCTACGGGAGGCGAGTTTCACGACATTTGTGCGATCCACCAATCCTCGCCTCCGAGGTGCTGGATTACAGGCGTGCGCTCGTGGTCTGTATTTGGATGAGTAATGGACCGTGCGATCGAAGCGACAAAAGAACAACACGCAGCTCTCACAGGGTATGGTCATGCCGTATCGCGATGGCTCGGATACCAAGAGGCGATTCTTCAGGCTCCTTCGACCGACACCCTGTGCTCCAATCAGCACCAATGTCTTCCGCTGGAAGGGGGGCATCTTGGCCATCTCTTCGTAGATAAGGATCTCATGACGGTCAAACTCTGTGTCAGATGGAAGGGATAGAGATGGACACATTGTATGAGGTATACGGTAAAGGTGCAGCCCGTGCAATTGCCAGCTCCCACCACTGCTGGTGGAAGGACTGCCACTACTAAAGGGAGCTTGAGAAGGTCCCTTCTAGAGGGTAGTTTGGCCAACTCTTCCACTATGGCCAGATATCTTGGAGTAGAAATAACGTTAATATCATGTATTGCTTTAATTACGTTACGAATAATGTGAGCATATTGAGTCACTTAAATCTTATGATATAATATTGCATGAAAAAAATATATAATGTTTATGATTTCTACATGGCGTCAAGCTTTACACTTTGAACCATGGCTTCAACAAATTCGTAAGAGAAGTATATATATATTCAACTATCCAATTACATAGCACTTACATTGAGCTCCATGTATTTTCTATTTTTATGACTTAAATCTAAACGACATGTTTTCGCACGTTATTTGTTCATGCAATTTACTTTAAAAAAAAGTTTAATTAAATTCCAATCACATTTTTTATTTCTTATTGACATTCATTGATGATGAACAAATGAAATGATTTATTTTACTGGAAAATGAGGCGGGAAATAGAGACTGCAGAATTACAACTTAGATATGCAATCTTGAATGAACAAAATAAACCGTCACTATTGCTGTATATGTAGATCTAGCCTAGCAATTAAAAACACAAATGATGCATTGCCACAATAATAAAATGAGATATACTTGTATACAATGGAGCTGCAAGAAATGTTAGAAGTACGTGATGATCAAGAACACTGAAAAGTTGGGCTCAGGATGAATGAGAAAAACAAAAGTACAAAATATCTGTTGGAGGGGACATTACTGTAAAATACTGCAGCATATATACCTAGGCTAGCTGTTATAAGTGGACTGGAATTAAAGTTATGAAATCAAGAGGCAGAGAAGAGTTGGTAAGAGTGATTTCAGAAAGATGAATTTGTTCATGAAAATTAGCATAGCAACGTGCCTAACAAAGAACGTTTTAATCAGCATACATTACTTGCTGTGACAATGTGCGTACTATCTGCGGTGACTTATGGATCATAATCGTTGACATTAACAAAGAGAATAAAACAAAGACTACAAAAGTGCACAAAGCATGGAAAGATGCGTGACTGGAATTGCACTGAAAAAAAAACTGAATGAAAGAACATCTATATATATAAAAAAGTCAAAAATTGTCTGTTTGTCGGTTTGTGGCTTTGTGTGTGTTCGCGCGCTTGCGAAGGATTTGGCTCTCCAATGGTGGGGTTTATGTTAAATAAAAATAGCCAGGTACCACGCCGTAAGCCCCGCCGTGAGCAAGCACTATTCCTTTTTCACATCCGTATAATTAGCGATTCAGTGCGATTTTTTCGCACTTTCGTTTTATTTATTTATGAAACATGCACGACCATACCAACTCACGCACCTTTGTTGGGGGGTTCAGCCCATGCCAAGTCGCACACCTTCGGTGAGAGTGAGGGGGAGATTTTCTTTTGCGTAAAAAATGCTTTAAAAATATACTAAACGCTGAGCTTAAATCTTCACTGTGTGATGTCCCCCCACCCCGATGCATGCAGTTACTAATATATACAGTTGCTAGATGCTACCACGATAGGCCGTAGATATTACTGCAGAGCGGCCGGGGAGATCGTGGCTTGGGGGGCGGTCAGGGGTAGCAGCGCAGCCCCAGCTTGCCAAGGTGCCACCTCGGCTGGTTGGACAATCTAGGCGAGGCCGGAGGCTCTGCACGGAACTAGGCCTCACCACGCCACTCTGTCAGGTGAGAACTTTGTGCTATGGAATCGATAAATACTGCTATAGAGTCAGTAAGTACTACTGTAGTGATAGCAGGTACCACCACAGTCAGTAATGCACTGCTGTAATCATAGCAGGTACCACCACAGTCAGTACGCACTGCTGTTAGATTTTTAAGAGTAGTTTTGAAAAAAAAAATTGGCCCGGGTAACGCCGGGTGTATAAGCTAGTATACATGTATATTATAGTACAGAAGCAGGTTAAATACATCATTCTAACTTCTAATGAGAATAAGTTTGCTGGGCAGCATGTGTCACGAGAAGGGAAGAATGCCAATAGTTAACAAACATGAAGGAGCAACAATGAAGAAAAGGAGTGAGTCTGAGATTACATCCACCGAGGAGATGCAGTGATGAAATCGACTCGTGTGCTGCTGCTAGGTCTACTTTTAACCTAAAGCAACATGAGATGGTGACAGGTTGGGTGGGCCTTCATTCAGCAATGGATTAATCATGGCTGGTGATAATGTACACAATGAATTGGAAATATGTAACACTAATTGTTATTTTGACAGTGTTTGGGAATCTTTTATCACTTTGGGATTTTTGTAATGAGCAGTTATGTGAACCATTGAACACCTATGATGCTAATTGGAGTTTTTTTGTAATGAGCAGTTATGTGAACCATTGAACACCTATGATGCTAATTGGAGTTACGCTTTTCGCAGGAAAGGGATTTGACATCACACCACACGGCTACTCTCTGTGGAGCCTTATGGAATGGAAGAAGCACCCACAGCAAGGTTCTCTGGTGATCATCGAGTCAATCCCCTCTCGAACCGCACCTGCGTTTTTGGTGGACATGTACATCAGCTTCTTTTTCTTCTTTCCACCCAAGACTCCACACAAGGCTCCTCCTGTACAGGGCTCTTAGGTTAAGGCATTGACTTACAAATAAGCACCGTCACCATCTACGAATTAACTGACTTTCAGAATTCCACCTTCACAAAAGTCTACACAATGTGCATTAACGTTTCTTTTTGTATGTTTTTTAAGAAAAATTCATTTATTTTGGATTAAAATAATATAATACATGGAATTATTTATACATGAAAACGTTAGGATAGATTTGTTCCTGTTGGTAGATACACTTTACTTTGTATCATAAGACTACGTGAACAGTGATCTTTTATATTAATCTAGTTTTTAACACAAAAAAGCTATGGAATGCATTCATCAGCATCGCAGGCTTTGCAGATACATGAATTCATGCAAATATATTGTAAAAACAAATGTAAAATACTAATAATTTCGACTTAAACTATGTAACTGTCATTGAACATATGCTATTGTGATGATTTATAAACCGTATATATCTGTGATAGTTCACAGTAAAATTGTATCATTATTTTTATTATTACAATTATGTGTCGAATGTGAGTGGGAAAATGGTTCAGGGTGAACGAAATAAGAACTTTGATCTGAACATACATCACACATTCCTACTAGAAATGTGCATTGCATGCATTCACTATTAAACACATCTGATAAAAGGTCTTGGTATAAAAGCATGTTAATTTAAAAAAAACATAAAGCGACACACTTGTTATATTTTAACTTTTCTGTCAGAAGAAGTAAAATTGAATGTACACAATTTGCACACGTTATCGTTTGTACAAGTGCAGAGATGAGTGGGTTTTTAATGTAATGTCAAAGTTTATTTAACTAGTTCGATATTCATAATAATGTGAGTTTATGTTGCGTTTAACCAATTGTGAATTCATGAAATAATGAAGCATTTCCCTACTTGCATTTCACTACCTGTTGAAAAAAGTCGAATTTTCAATTAACAATATAATTTTAAACTATTAGCAGCTTAGTTGATTTGGGTTTACTTTGAAGTATGGAAATATTTTAACACTGTTCTCACAGTATCCCCACTCACCATGCTCAGCAATCTACCTAGAAAATTTACACATTAGTCTGTGCAGCATTAGTCTGTGGGATCGAGTGGTTATGCTTAGAGACCCCTCATATGAGCTACAGAGTGTTTGCCAGGCACACATCCTCTCATTATTTGTGCAGTCATTCACTCCTGCTTCTGTTCTGGTTACAATGTCTCTTTACTTCACAGGCCCAGAGCAGATATTTCACTTGTTGGCAACATTATGGCTCAAATTTGTCATATTAGTCTGATGCCTGTATATTTGTAGTTTGTATGTGCATATTTTATCCGGATCCTCTGGTTTTACCCTCCACATTTAGAAAAAGTGTTTAGATTACATAGATTATTTGGCTGCTTTAAATGTCCACATAAGCCACTTCGTTGAGCTATCATTTGTGGCCAGGTCACTTCTGAAAAATAAGCTAATAGCTCAGTGGGCTTTACCTGGTAAAATGAAAATAGTAAATTTTTGTGATTTGCTTACCTTTCCTATAGTTTGTACTCTTATCATGTTTTGTATATGTTGTCATAACGTTCTGACCCACCCCGACTGGATATCTGTGAAAAAGAGATTATAGCTTATCGGATTCCTTCAGTAAAAGTAAGATTCTGATTCTGAACTGGAATATATACATCAATCATCGCCACAGGCAATTAAAAAACAGCAGGACCCTCCTGAAAAAGAGAATTGAGACTCAGCGAGGCTTTCCTGTGTAAACAAATGGAATCAAATAAATTCTGGATTAATCTTAGGTTACATAACCAAGTTGTTGAACAATCTGAAATAAATCAACATTTATCGAAAGGTTAGTGCTTTAACTTGACTCAAATTTCATGCCATCTCAGGGTGGTATCAACGTCTGCTCTGGCACTCAGCTAGCTGCCATCATGGTGAAGTGCGGTGTGGCTCGATGAGAGGTAAAGTGTAAAGTGTGCACACCTTGGTTAGGCCCCTCCGGGAGACGAGACGCCGCACACTCACCGGAGGCACTCGTGAAGTTCACCTCCTGCCGCACGTACGCCTTCCGCTTCTCCTCCAGCATCTGGCTGGGCACCAGGCCTGCACTGCCCCCGTCTTGTGCTTTGCATGCCTGAGCAGCACGTGCACACGGTTATGGTATGTATGTTGTATGTATGCATGTTGAACTTATTTCACACCGTATGTATCCAAAAGTGCCAATCAGAGGAGCGAGGTTAGTGGCATCGATAGCAGACGAGCTGAAGGAAGTTATTTACGGCGTACACAGTAAGTCTTGGACAAAATGTCAAAAGTGCCATCTCCGTGCTCACAGAGATAATAGAGCAGCACTCATTTCCTTCGGCAGCCCCGAGCCACAGATGGAATTCCATATTCCGACGGTAGGGAGAAGTCTATCATGGGATGACCGCTTGAATTGCAAATCCCATTGTGAGCCAAGCACATGAATCCTATCACCCCACAGAGGAAATGGTAACAATATCTAATATACGAAAAGGTAAACAGTGGCATAGAGTAATGTGTTCTAAACCCGGTGACCAAAGTTTGATTCATGACCATGGCTAACGTCAGTGGCGAATGATTTCTTAAATCTTCCCCCCCATCCACCTCTACTCACCAATCTGCATGAAACAGCACGGTGAGGTATGCTCAAACACCCCCCCCCCCCCTATAACCGACACGGGCTTGACGAACAGTGCTGTTATAATCAATTATTACATGAAAATGGTCTCGTGGAGGTTTATTCAGCCCAGGTGGTCCTGTGGGAAGTCATCAGTGGTTGTCTTATGGAGAGAATGCCCCCCCCTACTAAGGAAATGTGGCAATTCCACCACAGACTTAAGGCTCCCAAGCTTACATGTGCAATGACATGCTGACACCTGCTGGCCGAGAAAGGGAAGCACGGGTACGGGCTCAGCTAAAGTAACAACGAATCAGAGAAGGAGAGTTATCTGGGGCAAAGGTAACAGGTGGGGTTAGCCGAGATACTCCGGGAACCTGCTCGAAGGTTCCATGAGAGGGGCCTAGCCACGCCTGGGGGGATATAAGGAGGAGCCGGACCCAGGGCTAGGGGTTTGTGTGTGGATTCTTGGGTCCTGGCTGTGTCGCTGCTCGCGGACATCTCTCTCTCTGTCGTCTGGCCATGTGGAAGATCTCCTGCGGGGTTTCCATCGCCATCATCGTCAAGCCGCCAGCCAGCGGTGTAGCCGAGTGAGGGCGGTGGGACCACGCCGAGTGATCGGCTGTGTGTAGCCAGTAGAGACGTTCATATCTAAGTGTTGTACTTAAAGTGAGAAGAATAAGGTTGACCTGTGTGATGAGAAATAAAAGAAGTACCTTCTACACAACGTGTCGCGGAAGTCGCTCATTCCACATGTAAAACAATCTGTGTGTCAGGGGCCGACTGCTGTACAGCAGCAGCAACTACACTTAGCGCACATGTTGTTGAGCATATGAACCTTATGGCAGTACTCGCATAATGTCCGTGATGCAGTAATTTTTAGTCTGTTGATGGTCGGTGATGCGGAAATCGACTCATCTGGACGAGCTGTACACGATGCATTATGGTGCATACGAGCGTTCAGGGTTTCAGCACAATCATGCTCGCTGCGTTTCGACATCGCGGAGTAGCACTGATTTCGGATTGATTGGTACCCCAGTCACGGAGTTAAGATAATGGGTTTCATTCACCATCAAGGAGTTTGCATAATAACATTTGTTTAGTATCAAACTAACCATGTTTTTTACGTGTAGTTGGCAAAACTAAAATATTCAAGCCAACAACAATCCAATACTTTAAGTTTCGATAGAATAAATTATCACAAATTAATATATTATTTACAATTTTGTAGTTAAACAATGCTAGTGTAGTGTAATAGTGCCGGCTAGTGGACAGCGGCGCCAGTGAGGGTGTGCACGGTGTGTTGGCAGAGGGTAGGAACTAGGGTAAGGGTCACAGAGGACCCCGTCTGGAGGCCCCTGGAACCTGCTAGCGGGTTCAAGAAGGGAGGCGTGTTCAGGGCGGAGCCAGGCCGCGCTGGGAGCATAAAAGGAACCGAGAGTGGGAGCTCAAGGCTGCCGGTTCTGGGAATGGACTAATCTCGTCGTTGCTGTCGTCTAGTCGCCGTCGTGGCTAAATGTCTTCGCTAGATATTGCGCTACGAAGGATAGTAGTTTGCTATCTGAGTCAGCGCCGTCATTGTTAGATGGCTAGTGTTGTGTACAGGCTAAACTAAGCTACTGTGGAGAGTGTGCGGATGAGACCATGAAAGTTGTTATCAAGAAAGTGCTTCCTAAGGGCCTCCAAGGGCAGCATAACAAGCTTTAAATCCTGCTGGACATCACAATACAGAACAAACACTGGTTCCTAGTGAGCCTCCCCCACGTATTAAAACTGAATCTCTCTGTTTTGTAGTCTCCAGAGACGAGCCACATCTAACAAGACCGGCATACACATCCCATAGCCACTACCGCACCTTCCTTGGAAGCTAAACTCCCATTGAATATTAATGTGGGTAAGATATAGGAGAGTTCTAAACTATTCTCGTCCCACAGCTGCATGTTCCAATGCTGAATGCCTGTGAACATGTGTTGGAAATTCAAGTTGCAATCCAACAGTGAGTTTCAATGCATGACAATATTGCTCTGGTATACTATAGACTATATTTTTTAAAATCATAAAATGAGACTTGAATCTAAAACAAATGTCTATGTTAATATTGATAGGATCATGTAGTTTATTTTCAGTTTTTTCGAATTTTTGCTACTTTCTTTTAATATGTGAAATATTAAATTAACACCGAAGTAACTAAAAATGTCTTTAGCACACATATTGACTGCCCTCTATTCATAAATAGCAGCATACACAATAACACAAGGTACTGAAATTTTATATTCCAAGACATGTATACAACACTGCTTTAACATCTCTTGAATCCAGACTCAAGTAGGAATTCATGAAAAGCCAGAAGGCTTTCTAAAGTAAATACATTCTAACCAGAAAATAGTTTGCATGCTCATTAAGCAGTATGGAGGAGTAGCAATTGTACAGCTAAACACATGTTCAGTGCAGCTGTAGGGAATTCTAAAATTAATTCGCTCGGTCGCCATATGCCCTATTAGTGCTGTTTCCATTTTTCTTTTCTCCTTTTGCAATCATCATATGCTTATTTTCCAAGTAAGAAAAATTAATTCTACAAGCCTACCAGAACATCTATTCGCCACCTTCTACATCCAGTGAACATGAGCCTTCATCATCTTGCTACACAGTGATGGCAAGTGGCTCGGTGAAACTGTATAAAAGTGAATTGAGTTTGCTTTAAAATTGTAAAAAAAAAAAAATCTATAGTGTTAATTTAATGTCTTAGGTGTTACATTTAAATGAAATGAACAATGTAGTATTTTCTCAACACTGTGGGATATCTCCTGCATTGAGAAAGGCTCTCCATGCAATTAGTCTGGGCTTCAAGAGGTTTGATTGCAAGTTTAAATGCACACAGAGTTTGCACACATAACCATAATGCCAATAGTTGTTACTGGTCATATGCTGGCCTTGTAACTTAACACGTAATCGTATATATTATAATCATTCATATGTGAGCCCTAACCGTGTCTCTACTTCATGGAAATGCAATGCAGATGAGCATATTAGTGCAGTGTGCCATGGATTAATCTTTTGGGTATAAGATGACTGTATCAAGCCAGAGGAATGTTACTTTCATTACAAACCACGAGCATGCTGATGCGATAACAGCGTGTATGTAAGCTGCTAAGCCTGCAATCCCAAATCCAAGCGATAATCTTCGGCATTTATTTGTGTTTAGAACAATGATGTACTCCACGTTTGTCATTTGAGCAGCGTTCACATTTCACGTCTGGGAAATGCAATTACTTCTGCTTTCTGATTGTTACCAGATTCTCAATCAAGGGGGCAGCCAGAAGTCACAAGATGTTGTTATGCTCACAAACATCACCATACAGCCTGTGATCTATGCTGCTTTGGGATTATTCTATAACAGAAATGTGTATTACCTGGCACAGAAAGTTTCCAGCTGCATTGGCAAAATAATCAGAGTCTATATCATCATGTGAGGGAAAATATGTTCTAAATGCAATCAGAAAACAGTGGGTGCAATAACACACTTTGACTTCATGTTTATATTGATAACTTTGCAAAAGAAGTGTTACATGTTGATATTGCAGTGTGGTAACATTTCAGTATTGTGGCGACATGCCTGTAACCCAACAATGTTAACATTAAATATGTATGTATATACAGAAGAGCATAGTTTCTGTACTATATAAGCAAATAACTAAATAAAAAAATAATATAAATAGACACAAAATAATAAAGCAAGCATATTATGAAAAGGACAGTTATTTTCACATGCAGTACAGTACAAATATGATCTAAGTGAAAATGCTTCATGAAATACATTTACGTTTATTTTCATGAACAGTATCAACAATGACATAGTCTTCTGTCTTGTAACATAAAACCCACAACAATGTGCTAAGATGCACTAGTCACTTAAAAACAAAATCAAACTGTCCTCTGGAGTGAAAAGCACAATACCGTCCAATTCAAAGCAAGTTAATTTGTTTCAGAATAATTTTCCTAATTTTCAGCTGCCCAAAGACTTTAAAGCTCGTTATTATTGTCAGACAACGAGTTTGGGGGGAGGCATCATGACTACCCCCCCCCCAACTCAGCAGGGTGCCCCATGCTCAACACTGCAGGAGCAGCACACACTGTGCACATGACTCACGTTGCTGTCAACGCCGCTATAACTGCGCACAACGCCTGGTGCCATGTCTCCAATTAACATTTCTCAAAATGATGCGAACTTTAATTATAGTGATTCCTCCGTGTAAAATGTACCTCTGTGACAATAATAAAATGGACACACACACAACGACCAGAATGCCTTATAGGCTGATGAACCAAGCGACATCAGCTATTAAGGCCATCATCTCAAACTGCTTCCTTTTTCAGACTCAATGTCGATGTTAACACAACAATTGAGATACTCCATTTTGGATAAGCCAACCAAAGGTAGTTTGAGCTTATTTGATTTGTTACACGGGTTGAGTTTATTTGATTTGTTACACGGATGATCCCATTTAGCCAGTTGTGCCACTATTTTAGATCCAGATCAAGTTTAGATGCCACATGCCACCAATCATACCGGGCTGAGAAATGAGCTGTGATTGTAGCACAGGCCGCAACCAACGACACACACTCACTCACATTCTGACATTCAAATTTCATACATATTTTAGTTTTAGCAACATTCACTTGTATGACTATTATTCAACTGAATGCATGCATGAACATTGTATTTTTCGGGTTTGTGTGTACAAATGAGACTGTGAAATTGTCTTTCAGGCTGCTTGAGCCTTCTAAATGCTTTATGGTGCCCATTACTCACTCTGCTACTACCTGGCTGCTCCACACATTCTAATTAGCATCCATGTGTTCACCTCCTGTCAAGACACAGGATGTGCAGGCATCATTTGTATTACTTAGAATGAGTTCCAAAGTATCAAATAGGTTGTTATTTTTTTTATTGCATGCTCACGCTAGTGGAAGATAATATCGGCTGCAAAAATGTGGAGACAGTTTTATTCTATAGCATTTTCCCCACTTTAACTTTTTTCTTCTTTGAAGTTTGCAAAATTTGGGAACTGATATGAGCAAAAACATGCCTCATTTAAAAACAGAATATGCAGCATTCATGCGGTAATGTCCTGGCATGGCACATTTACAAATATAAGATGACATAATGGAAGAACAAAAATGCATAATAATGGGAAAGGCGAGAATAGGTTTTCCCCTTTTTTCTGGCAATAAAACAGGTGTTCAGATGTTAAAACACCAAACTGAAACCTTTTACAAGGAATCATGTCTGCATTAACCACAATATGTGGTCAGAATGCAAACAAAAAACACACTCTGATAATATATGCATTGTCTATGAAACTGATTGGTCCACACCAGAGATGGCTTGCTTTTGAGCCTAGTCTCAAATGGTGTCAGACCAGAGACCAGAGGACGCCAAAAGGCATACAGCACAAAGACAAGCATTATCAGAGTCATGAGAGCTCGGGGTGAACAGCTACATCATGAAATAGGAAAGGCATCACTATTGACCGCTAAGTATGTGGACATAGATAGGCCACTTGGTAAAAGATGATGGCCCATGGATGACTGGTGATGGTATGGCAGGCAAATGAGAAGAAAAAAACACACCCAAGAGGATGACCACTGAGGAACAGTACTGACATTAGCTCATGCGCAGGAGTGTGTTTTTGGCATTATGGGACTGTGAGCAATTGCGACATCCAGAAGTGGATGGAGCATTGCTTGATAATGATTAATTTAATTCATGTTCAAATACATTTACTTATTTATTCAATGACCTGAGCATCATATCTTAGCGTTGAATGTTTTGCACAGAAACACAATTGTCTAAAAGGACAGAAGCATTCCACGAGTCTTCATCAAGCGTGCACGCAACGGTGATGACAATGTAAAACGTAGCAAGGTAATTGTATACGTTCCCATGGATCGTTAAGAGTACCTGCCACCAGTCGGGGTCATCCTGGCTCACGATCTGCAACACATCCCCCTGGCTGAACTTGAGGCCCGCCTCCTTGCATGGTATCAGCTGATCATCCGCAGGGTTGTAGTCAAACTGGCACTTCACAAAAAGCTGCTGGCACATCCAAGCACACACAGACGGTAACAGTCACGGCATGAAGGAGACACAGCGTTTATTTTGTGCGAGCTTCGCAGCCAGATTCCTGTGCCAATGCTGTCGCACCGTACGTAGCCAACCTTGCAAACTGACAGAGCCTAAAGCATGAGCTTTACCTATACACTGTAGCTCTTAGTCATGTAGAGCTGAAGAGCTCTTTTTGAATGGCAGGCATAGGAAGCAATGCATCTGTAGGCCCCGAAGACATACCAGTGCTCGGATAGCGACTCTGCCGGGGAGGTTTCAAGAAACCTTTGATCAAGTTGGCCGTTTGTTTGTCGGGCAAGCCCCTTACTGCGACCGAACTTTGTACATCAGTTTTGTGCACACTGGAAAATCTTAATGATTGTTATTGTGACCCTCTCATTCGAGACAGATCGACGGATGCTTGCAATTTCAGTTGTAAATGCTACAAAGAGCACGATTTAAGAAGGATAATTACTGACGTTTACAAAATAGGTCTAAAGACATAGTGTCCGCTTGAAACCGTGTAATTATTTTCAATAAACCTGAAATGTATTGCTGGATTTATTACATCATAAGAGATGGCGGTGGCGTAGGGAGGCCTTCGTCGAACAGTGGATTGACCTTGGATGATGATGCTTATTACATAAGGTCGCTACAGTAGAAACATCAAAGCATAGATATTTCATATGGCTTCTCAAACGCTTGCAAACTGTGTTGTGCGGTGGTAACCACCAATTCCAGCATTTCCTTTCTATCTTCACTCCCACCACTGTACAGTGTAGGAATAACAATTGTATTTATATACTGCCAATGTGTGCTGAAAGCTCTGAGTAATAACAATACTATTCTCCTCATATTCATAGTTGCAGAAAATTCATATGCATATGCTGTCATAAAATATGGCCAGGAAAATTTGATTGCTACTGTAATTAAAGATCATTATTACATTGTGTTAGGTAAATATACAAGTGGCTTTGGTTTAGATGGATGACACAAAACAAAATAAAGTGATTTTTCACTGGTATACGGAGCTTAATGTGATCTTTGACTCTTGGATTTATTTTAGAATGCTGTTATTTATCGTTAAAACATGTGGCATTCTAGGTTAATAAAAAAACTAATTGTTAAGGTATACGGCTGCAATTTTCCCCAAATCAACGACTGCCTGTTTACGAAGTGATGCTTAAAAGAATGCCATGTGTAGTGGGTACAAATGGAGACGAGGCTTCTCTAGAGGCAACACGTTATTTTAACAACACTCGCTAACACAAATGGGTAGCTGCCCCTTCCACCAGGTAACCTGGGGAGGTAGTCCCTCCGGGATAACTAGCCCTAACACAACTGGGGGAGGCCGTCAAGCCTGGACCCCGACTCGAGTCCTGGTCTTGACTTCGGGGCTTCTTCTTCAGGAGGACGTCTTCACATCTTCAGATGAACAACAGCAGCCGGACCCGTTTAGGGGTCCGGCTTAAATTCCCAGTCACGGGGCTTTCTCCGCCCCTAGGCAAGCCTCCTTCTCGGCCCTTCCAGAGGCCCCTGGAACCGGTCCCGGGGTCCCCCAGCCCCCCTTTTTGGGGGCCCCACCCCCGGTACCTCCGGCCACCAGCCCTCCGGGTTGACCCGGAGTGCCATGGCCCCATGTCACCCCTGTGCCGCTCCAGGCGCTCTCGCCCCCTAGCCTCCAGGGGCTGACACTGCACACGGAGTGCAATGTCGCACAACTGCTGTGCTGTAGGTGGTGTGAGCAGCGTGTCTCCTGCTCCACACACAGGCCGGTCTTACGTGGCATGCAGTGGCATCCACCGATGCCACTGCACATGTAAGCATTTGCTCAGCACATGCATGTGTTATGGGATGCGTTTACCAGGCATCAGAGATGGGGCCTTACCATCAGCCCCACCAAAACTAAGCACCTGCCTGGGTATTTTGTACCATCGGACACTCCACCCCCACAACTCCCAATCGGTGATGGGGAAGTTGTGGAGAGAGTGGAGAGTTTCGCATACCTGTGCAGTGTGCTTATGACCGGCTCCAGTTTAACAGCAGAGGTCTCACTCCGAATCAGTCGAGCGGCAATATATTTTCATCGGTTGCGTAACGCTGTGTGGAAGCTACCTGGTCTGTCGCTCCGCACGGAGCTTCAGGTCTTCTCGGCCACGGTCATTCCCTCCCTTCTCTACGCTTGCGAAACGTGGACCCCCCTAATGGATCATCTTCGCCGGTTGGAAACATTTAGGCTGGCCTGCCTACAATCAATCCTGGGTTTAACCAGGCTGGATTGTGTGAGGAGCTCACAAATCCTTGAAAGATCTGGGCAAAGTCCCATCGGTGAGCTCCTCCGGCAGGCAAGGCTGCGTTGGCTGGGTCATGTAGACCGCATGCCCAGCCACCGCATGCCTAAACAGCTTTTGTTCGGCCGGATCGAGGGGCTAAACGGGCGCGGCACGGGCTAGAGAAGAGATGGAGTGATGTGGTACAGGAGGACGTGGAGCTGAGTGGACTTGCCGATGACTGGTACCAGCGGTGTCAAGATCGGCCTCAGTGGAGGAGGCTCGTGAAGGACGCTACTGGGCAGTTGGAGGCAGTCGCCCTACAACAACAACGGAGGGCGGAGGAGCGACGCTCACAACAACGAGCGGAGCGCGGGTGGCTAAAGCACAGCAAGTTGGTACAGTAGGGGGCAAAGGTGGTGCATCAGCCAGTCATCTCGGTCATCTCGGTCAGTCGACCCGTGGCACCTGCTGGGTCTGCCCCGTGACCTCCTGCCAGCGGGCGTTCGACACTTCACGTGGCCTCAAGGTGCACTTGGCCTGGCACAAGCATCGTGGTGACGTCACCGCCACTTAGTGGCGAATGGCGGTTGTTGTTGGTGTTGTTTACCAAGGTTACACCTCTCCTAGGACATGTTAACCACATCCGGAAGTATCACCCAATGTGTAGTATGCAGGTAGTATACTACACATGATATTCTCAAAGAGAAAAGCATTAATCATTATCAACAGCAAGGCTGGAGTTAAAATAAAATTCGTCAGAAAAATCGGAGCAACCAAGGCTAAATAGACGCCGCATTTCTCATAAATCTGGGGACATTCACAATTGCGAGACACGTGCTGAGCGGTATTTCCAGTCGTTAAAAAGTATTGCAAATGTATTTTGATATTGCCGACTTGATTGCAGCAGATTTAAATGCCTATAATATTTCCCCCCCCCATTAACATTTTCCAAATGCTTTCGGAAAATAATTTCCTTACACAAATCACTGACTATGACCCTGAACCACATTTAGATGCTGAATTATTAATAGATAGATGCAATCAAACAAGTGCTGTTCGACACATGTCAGCAACTCTTGTGTTAAATCCAACATTGTATTATTCTTTCTACAGCCATTGTACAAATACTAAGTAGATGCTACTTATAAATATATATATTATGGTGTGATGAAAGCACATCAAGCGAATAACTAGGTCTCCTGGATTTATAAATAAATAAAGATGCAAAAATATCCACTTACAATAATGAACAGCTAAGTGCACATTGGGTATGTAAAAAACAGATATGCCTGCTTAAAGCAGGAAGCTATAAAAGCTGGCACAGCATATAAAAGGGCTGATATAGGCAGCCTAATGCCTTTCTCTGTATCCAGCTTTCATACTGCCACTATACAGTATGTGTATATGCTGATCTGACCGAGAAGAGGTCAATGCCAGATTTAGACTCATTACAGCTGGGTGGAGTGGTGCACCCCTATAATCCTGAGCTTGAGGGGCTAAGTTGATAGAACTCAAAGCAGTTTGAAACCCCCAAACTTTGCTCTGCTGTAAGATGGCTAGTTGATGGCAGTACAGAAAGTAGGTTTATTAACTCCTCTATATGGTTCTGTTGGTGTTCTCCTTGTGTGGTTTTTCTTCGTGTACTTTTTTTTACCAAATTCAAAACACTAACGCACAAAGAATTGGCAAAGTGACGACACACCCCAATGTGAAACTCTTGAAAAAGTCGTGAGACTCAGTGACTCCTTGCTAGAAAACTCAATCACATAATTATTAGGGCTGTAACAATTCACCCACTGTGAGATTTGATAATTATCTGTCATGATTCAGCGTTGATTCTATTTCGAGAGTCCAATACGTACAGGGTATGCGAATCAACAATTCTATTTCCTGCTCGCATGATTCTAAGCATACATTGCGAGCACCGAGGATCAATTTTAACCCATAAGCCGGCACGTTGTTACACCTGGGTTTGTTTTCACCATCTCCCATGATGCAATGGATAGCGATCGATAAAGAGAGCACATGCCCATCAGCTTTGGTCCCATTTTTAAATCCTTTATATTAAGTTCGCGTGCTTGCTTGCGTGCTTGCTTGCTTGCTTACGACCGTGCAAATCTTTGGGTCGTTTTTTAACACACTTCCCGTGATCCAATCGAGCTGACATTTTCCACACAGACTCGTTGTGCGTGACAATTAATTTTCGTGAAAAAACATTTCCAAAATTTTACACTGTTTAGAGAATTTTTTTAAAATATTTAATTACTAATTGCTTAATGCTGGCAGACAATCATCTGACCCATAGGTGGCAGCCATCTCAAGCCAGAGGACGAGAGGACTCTAGCCGCCACGCATATAAAGGATTTAGAGTGAAAAACTTTGTTTTTACGGGTTACATTTTTTGTGATTTGTTTACCTTTCCTATACTTTGCACTTCTATCGCGTTTTTGTTTCGTTTGTTGTGATAACTTTCCAACCTGCCCCAATTGGACATCTGTGAAAAAGAGCTTTATATACTCATCAGATTCATCTGATTCCAGTGCCTGCTATGCATGTGGCCTGTGGGCCTACCCAACCCCCCCTCCCTCCCGGTGCGTACCGGCGCGGGGTTCTGCGGCAGCGTATAGCTGGGCAGGATCTTGAGCACGACGCTGCCCGTGGCCTCGCGCAGGTAGCGCTGCAGCCCCACGGGGTCATTGCTGACGTCACGGCCGTTGACCTCGCGGATGACGTCGCCCACGTGCAGGAGGCCCTGCTGGTCGATCATGCCGCCCCGCAGGATGCGCGCGATCACCAACTCGTTGCTCTCCACGCGGAACGTGACGCCCTGGTGGGTGGCGTGCATGCGCAAACACCATGTGCACTGTTTAATTAAATCTTTTAAGAAAATATATTTCTGCTGGCTTTATTTGGAGAGGTCTCAAAGTGAAAAACCTACCCAGGCCAGGGTGATTGTTCAATGCAAAATCATTTAAATTTCGCTTGAGGGTTGCCTCAGCCCATCATCTCCCCACGGACAATACAAAGAGTACTACTTTGTGAATTAAAAAGTGGTTGTCCTCTTGTAAGAATGTCTCCACCATGGGTAGTGGGCTTTTGAAAGCTGCCTTCGGGAGTCCATTGGAGAGGAACACCAGCACAATGCGTTATTGAGCATGAAGATATGGGCTGTTATGACAAAGACAACATGAAATATAAAAAAGCCCATCATTGCCAAGTATTTAATTGTTTTGTTATTACATGAAATGCAAACACTGGCCCCTTTCAGAGGAATGTGGAATTTCAACCATTGATTTAGGTCCACCAAAACAGAACAGCACTACCCAATGCTCTTTTGAGCAGATGCCAACCCCTTTCATGTTGCTTCCTTGCTAAGAAAAAAAAATGCTTGCCCGAGATACAAAAGATGACCAATTTTTTGTTACAACAAAAGATATGTGCGTTGAACTTCTTTCGCGCTGTACTTTGCGAACCGTGCTAATTGGAGGTGCGGGGGAGGGGGCAACAAATTAAACACAAAAAGCAGTTCCAAAGAAATGACATTGCAGCAGCTCTACGACTCACGCGGTGAGTGTGTCGCACCTACCAGGGGCTCTCCCTCCATCTTGCGAATCCCGACCATGCGGATGGCGTCTGTCACTCCCGACTCGAGTGCGCTGAGCTCATCGCCGCTGTCCGCGTTGAGGTGCGGGCTGCACGGGAGGCACTCGTAGCTTTTGGAGGCCACCGAGTCATGGGCTCCCAAAAGCGACTGGCATTGTCGTGCAAGGAGAGGCAAAGTAGGCGTTTGCATATTTATGTATTAATTACCTCATTTATTATACCTACTGTGTTTGCTGTCCCCCCGTCAATGTACCGTCATAGAAACGCAGCCTTAGGGGTGGGTAATCATAGCATCCACAAAGAGGACACGACTGTTAGGGGCACCACAATTGTTTTCTTTACCTGATTTTACCGACCCATTAAAGAGCATGCACATAATGAACAACACAAACACATATGGCTTCCATGGTGGATAAGAAATTACAGCAACGACAGGGTTGCTACAAGACAATGACCTTTTAAGAGGCACTAAATGATGTTGCCATAGGAAAGATGCTGAACTGAATCACGATTAACTGAAAAATTCTCAGGAGATAAAATGCTGCACATTTTGGTATTAAGCGAGTACTCAGTTAGCTAAGAGGTACAATGGTTGTGACACAATCAGAATCAGAATATGTATTTATACTGCAGGAATCTAATGAGCTCCAAAGCTCTTTTTTACAGATGCCCAGTAGGGGCGGATTAGAACATTACAACACAAACAATTCAAAAACACTATACGAGTGCAAAATATAGGAAAGGTAAACAAGCCCACTGAGGTAGTGACTTATTTTTCAGAAGCGACCTGGCCACAAATTATATCTCAACAAAGTGGCCCATCATTTTCACATTTAAAGCACCAAAATAATCAAAATAATCTCAATGCATGTTTCTAAATATGGAGGGAAAAAGCGGAGGACTCAGAGAAAAAATCCACGCAACCGCGGGAAGGGAGAGACATGCAAACTCCAAATGTACAGGCGTCAGGGTCGGGGTCAAACCCAAGCCCTCCTGCATACCAGGCGAGGAAGATAACGTCACACCACCATTAAGAAATGCCCAACCTGAAAGTGGGGCTCCTGGAGGATGGTGGCGAGCTCAGCAGCACTATTGTCTCGCTTCGTCATTGGGGAGATGTCCTCCAGGATCTCCTGGACCAGCTCTAGGTTGTTCTCGCTCACCGCTTCGAGCTTGGGTTCCTCAAGCTTGCCCTGAGCCTGTGTATGGCGTGGAGTGGGTGGAGACGGCAGGCAACACCAGGAGGAGGAGTTAGAGGAGTAAGACATTCCAGAGTGCACACGTGTGAGATTCTATTTGAAGCATGGGGCAAAGAGTTAAGTGGCATTACAGCAAGATTATATAAGTGTTTTATAGTATCAGTGGCAGTTGAACCATATTGAGAAGGGAATAACATCAGCCTTTTCACTGGCTAGTCACTTACAACTTAAACAATGGAGGTCTGAGCAGCTACTCTAAACATCATTGCCAGAATCAGCCATTGTCTATCCACTGCTGGATGAACCTTCTCCACACCATAACCATTTAGATACAATCTCTCTGCTGCACGAGCCAATCTCCACTTCTGCAGTGATCATCCTCCGATTATCACAGTTTCATACGTACCCCTCACCTCCGATAGGCACAGTTGGCTACGTGTGGTGCGAAAGAAGTAAAAAAAACTAACACTGTCTGTTTTGGCTGCCATTCTGTCATCAGTTTTGACCACTGGCCATTATCCATTCCATGTGTCCTGCGCAAGCCAACTTATTTTTTTAACCACCAACATGATCTCCCCGAATTTTATTTGTTCAATGACTCGTGTAGTCTTCTCTCTGCATCAGCGTAATTCCAATCGTGGAACTCACAATGCTTCTGTACGCTTTTCAACAGTTTTGTCCCATATTCCTTGTCACTGTGTTACATTTCTGATCCATGTCATAGCTTGTGATACGAAGTTGTTGAAAACCTATTTTTTCTTCGGTAACATCGTAATACCACTTTTCGAAATCAAATTCAGTTTCCCAAAACCGCTCAGTCATGCTCTTACTCACGTCATCATTTCGATCCTGATGCATCTTAGCTAATCGCCCTCGTTATACACATTATGCTGTGCATTCCAGTTATGTCCTTCCGAAAATTATTTTATTTAGCCAACTTGTTGTATGTGACTTTATGGTGCTCATGTTTGTTGACTTTCAACACATACTATTATATTTTTGATGTCTAAAATGTCAAAGTGAAGTAGGAGGTTAACGGTTATATTATTTACACATCTTAAACATCCCAGGTATATGCTTTGTGTTAGTGTGCCATGTTGAATTGAATCCCAAAAAAAAGCCTTAGTTTGAAAGACACATGTGATATTTTTACGAATTTTGAGGACTTACATAAAGTCTGAATTATACAAAGGGTCAGTGCATTTGAGGGCAAGAGTCGTCAATTATTTATGAAGGATAAACCGGTTTAACAAGACTACCAACTCTGTCATAGTTGCCTGAAGCTGAAGACGCCAGGTATGAATTGCACAAACCTTGCCATTTCCTTGGTTGACAGGGACGTATGGCTAATACTCAAATAATATACCCTTGAAAATGGAAATAATGGCTGTAAAATGTAGACAAAAGTCTGCCAACATAAATGAAAATATAAAAACCTAGCCTGCTCTTAACCAACCTCCTGGTAGATATAGGTGTATGAATGATATCATGTTGCGTTTACTCAGGCCATGATCAACTTGTCGTTATAACAATGTTCAAGCTTCCTGAAACACCCACGTAAATAAAATAATTACGGATGTTACCATCGTCTCTACCCAATTGGCAAATTAAAATGTCTTCTTTTTACTTATTTCGAAAGGTGGCATTTTCCCAAGTTGATATAATAATTGAGTGTGATACTGCATGTATTTTAATATTCAGCTGTATATTTCCCATTGTCGTAAATGCGCTTGGGAATATTTGTACTGTAATAAAACTCCACCAACCTTGGCCAGACACTGCACCACGGGGCTCTCCATGAGGCCTTTCAGGAAAATGAGGTCAGTCTCCTTGGCGCTGGCAGTGCGGGGCATGTCCGGAAATGTCTTCAGCACCTGCTCCATGGCTGCTGTGCGACACACGGAGAAAGGGGGCCATGAACCACATTACCACATTTGGGTCAGATGCCATGACACACCATCCAGCTATGCATGTTATTGCTTGGAGAAAGTTTGCATTCATATAGCGCATCCACTGGTTGTTATTCATTCGTCAAGCATAGCCAGAGAAGGACCGTTGCACCAAACGTGTAACCTCTTGCAACAGCGTTGGCATAAAATGCTCTTGCTGTCATACACCGGTGTCGAGAAATTTGTTTTATCCACTAATCACGGGGACTGCGCCATTCCTTTGAGGGTCGCAGTCCACTTTGAACGCCAACTGTCAACTGAAGTGTTATGCATTCACGAATTAGCTCTCCCTACTGTTGGCCAAAGTCAAATCTGTTCACAGCGACGTATTTATTTTATTCATTAAACAAAAAAATAACGATACAATCGGTGAACCTTTGCCTTTGGATGCCTCGGTAATCCACATGCACTGCGAGTGGTTCCTCCTGGTTTATTACATTGATTTAACATTTACTTTACAATACATTGTTTATTTCCATCATAAAATGTCCTTTTCACATTTAGTGAACTTCACTTTTTTACTTCTACTTCATGGTAATTGTGATGCAGGTTAAACTGGTAATGTTTGAAGAGTTATTGAATGGTAAGTATAATTATTTAGCAATTACTGACTTACTTTCAGGCTTCTGGACATCTCCCACAGCAGGATTTTTTCTCTGCCCAAATTTGCCCAGCTTCAAGAGCTTTAACTGCATTGTGATTTGGAGCATTGCTTGTAAGACGTTTGTGTCTGGTATATCACTAGAGTTGTATATTGCTTATTATTTGCCAATTTTAAAATAAAGCAACAATGTTCTTGGGTTTTTTACCTGCGTGACTTCACCGAAAAAACCCAAGAATATGAATCCGTGCAGTCACGAAAGCTTCAAATCTAAAAGCAACAATGACCTGATAATTATTCAAGTAGCATAGTGCACAGACTATATGCACTTGACAGTTAAATGGAATGAGCTAATAAATTCAAAGAGAGAGAGTTTACCAACACTTTCCTATGGAGTTTTTATAGATGAATACCTAATGCAGCACGCGCGCCTACACTAAAAGCTTTTAGAGCATTGACGTAAACGGAGAGTGATGGAATTCCCTTTGACAATTAAATACAACGGTTGAATGGACACACAATGCTTACGGCTGGAAGTTGTAAAAGTGCTACTTCAAATAACGCTTGCACTTCTTATAAACAAATCAAGAATGTTATGTAAATGTTATGCTTGAAATAATTGGTATTTTCCATGATACACACGAGAATAAATTAAGTGACGTCTTTGGATGTGGTAGAATTATTTTCAAATTGGTGGCTGATAAAAGTACTCAAGCAAATTAAACATGTGGTGATTTTATGAGTAGATTCTGAGGAAAAGGACATGGTGAAAAAAACCGAATGTAACGGGACTATAACTTCCCAGGCCTTGTAACCTTTCGGATGATTTGATGTTCCAGGAACATATGCCAATTCATGTCAAAAGGAACTTGCCAATTACCTCGTGCAGAGTGTGACTACAGGAGGTCAACAATAAAACAAAGAAAGCATCAGGGCTGTTAGTACACTGTCCACCAAGTGAACGTATTGGCGGTATACCAATGTGCGGTATATTATTTATTTTACAATTCGCAACCCCGGTCATAAAATCTTGCGGTAGGCATCAAAATCAGTTCTCGTGATGTCGAAATAGTTGGAAAACAAATGTTATGGACAGCTGAAGACGAAGCTTCACTGTCTGTTGCCGTATAGCTAACCAGCCTGTTGACTATTGGCTCCATGTTCCAAAGGCAGATTGGACTCGTGTCATAGACTTGGTTGGACAATTCCTCGATTCACTTCTGGAATAATTTATTGGCGGACAGTGGCACCAAATGATGATGGCTCATGTCACACGTTCGAATGGAAAAGCAGCTGCTGAATCAAACACCTTCTGATGGAGAGTCTGCAGCTCACTCAAGGGCAACAGCGACAACGTCAGACTGTTTTTTGAGAACCGGTGTGTTATGCTGCACTGGTGTACCACCAATATGTTCATATGCATAACATGTCTGTGTGTGTGTGTACCATTCAGCATGCAGTATATTACAATCATCACTGAGCTAACATCCTTACAGAACAGCCCTGTGATGTGTTTTTTGAGTTGTACCACGTGTTGATTGGCATAATGTCTGCGGTTTTGATTTATGTGATGAGAGCTTCTTCAGGATTTGAATTTAAGAAGCTCCAAAAGCATGTGGTAATGAAGGGCATTAACATTGAGCACAGTTTGTTATCAAGTGGATTCTGAGGATCTTATGATATAGTTTAGTGATCTACATTTAATTTACAGTAAAATGTATTATCATGGTGCAATACCAAAATGGTTACTCAGTAGCTGGTTTCATGAACACACATTAAGGGGAAAGAATTGACCAAGTGGCTTGGAGGTGAAAGCGCTGAGCAAGCCTATTGAGAACCTGGGCTCGACCCCAAGCAGTGATTATACCGAGTCACCAAGTAAAAAAAAAGTCAATAGTCTCAGCCCAGTCACCAATATGTCCATAAAAGACCAACACACCAAGTTTGGTTATGCACCTGATTGGATGAATTCCTGTTCCGAGAATTTAAAATAATGCTTTAACTGTCAGGTACCAAATAATCTCTTTGCAGAGTGTATGGCAAAGTGTAATGGTTATTTTTGTCTGAGAGACAGTCATTCCTTAGCATGCTATATGGGAACATAATAAAACAGCAGGCAATATATCTTCTTCATATATTTTTTGTGGATGGACAGATATATAAAGGCAATATATTGTCTGCTTATTAATTTTTATACATGTACTCTCCACAATGATGCTAATGATTGTTTTGTGTTATATATTCGAACATGGGTTGTCCGCTCTCGCTTTCCATTAACTGACTTGCAAGACCGTTTGAGAAAGATCTAATTTTGAAAATATGTACTACGACAGGACTTCATACAGATGTAATGTCTTTACACTGGTTAATTCCAAATTACAAGCAGTTGCCTACCCGATTGGTCATACTGGCCTTGAATTTTAGCACGGATGACTATGTACGGTGCTAAAGAAATTCAACATATGTAAAAAACACACATCGCTGAATAACACTAATAGCCTGGATATCTCAGGCAGCAGAAAAGTAGGCTCTTGAAAGTGAACTTCAGGTTGACATGCCACCCAGGATCAACTACATAAACATTGGTATCAATCACTCGATAACTAAATTGTATCACTTGGAGCAGCGACTGCAGTGCTTCCTGGATAATCTGGTTGCTGCCATAAAAAACATTGAAAAATAGATGAGCGACCATCCAAAGTTTTAACGAAGAGGGGAATGGTTACCTTTGTAAAGGAGACAAATAGGTTTTTAATTGCTATGCAAGGGGAAAAGTATCTCCTTTCATCTCTCCCGAGGACACTGCACATGTTTTTACAAAAAACTACAAAGCCTCTAAATGAATCACTTATGAAAATTACCACACCACTTCACCACTACAGCCCAGACCCAGAGAGTTTCATAACGGAATTGGTAACAAAATTATTTAAAATAAATGCTATCGTTATTTTGCTTACCAAAGCAATTGGTGCACGTGTGTTAGAATTTTAGCGTAGAAGCGGTAGTGCGTGTGTGTTTGCTGTCTCGTGGCCACAGCACAGGGTGTGTTCCCACGTGGAGTGCAGAGCCCAACTCATTGTATATGTAGTGACGTAAATGATGTCACTATGGTGTTCGCGCCAGGCACTGTGATGAGAATGCTGTGCGTCTGGAACCTCTCTCTGGGGCCAGAGTGAGTACGGCATGCGAACGGGCCCTAGGGGGCATCGTCCTGGTGACGGTCTGAGAGAGGGCACGCGACCGGGACAGGATAGTGAGGGGGTCCGAGGGGGGCTTGAGGGACACGTCATGCTCGGTCGAGGTCCTTTGGGAAAGGTCTCGAAGGGAGCATGGCCAAAGGCGGAGCGAGGCCACGCTCAGGAGCATAAAGGGGCAGTCCCGAGAGCAATTGGTGCACGTGTGTTAACATTTTAGCGTAGAAGCGTTACTGCGTGTGTTTGCTGTCTAGTAGCCACAGCACAGGGTTTGTTCCCGCGAGGAGTGCAGAGCCCAACTCATTGTATAGAACACCGTCATTTGTAACCTTTCACCAAGTACATAAATGTTCCTTTGCGCACAGGTTTAGACTAATATTTTGCTTGTTTTTTTAATTGCAGTCGGAGCTCGGTACAGAGCGCAAACCGTGATGTGGGGGGGTGCAAGTCCAAAATGCCGTGCACCTGAGATTTAGAGAAGGGGGGAGATTGGGCTCGCTGCCCCACCGAGCGGGGACCGCGAGCAGGGTGCATGTGTATGTTTTCATATGGGAAGTTGTGAGCTTTGTATTTCGATTAGCACAGTTGGCTATATACGGTGCAAAAGAAGTACAGCGTACATACGTACACCACATTGTAGGAGGTCGACATAGAACGCCCCTATGGATACAGTGGTGGCTGCTACAGGAGTGTAACATTTCCAGCAATGGCTCGGGAATGTAAATAAGGATGAGCACCAGCCAAAGCACACTTTAGTATAAAGGACATGATACATATAAACTCATCTAATGTATAAGAGGTGTCTTCGTTTCAGCTCAGCGCTTTATGTTTTATATAAGTAATATTTGAACGTCATACAATCTAAACTGTTCTACAGTTATTAAGTCGTATGCAGTATTGCATTAATGTTTGCACACTCTCTTGTGCCAAAATTAAAATGCCTGGTGGTGTGATTTGTTTTATTTGTGCATAAATTCACATTCATTTGCATCACAGTCTTGGCACACGCTGCTGCATTTGACTCAGGTGCATTCTATTCCTTACGAATACTTAAAGCAGGTTCACCAAATGTCAGCCCAGCACTGCAAAGGCAGCAGCTGTAAATGTCGATCACAAGAAGAACAACCTATTTTACAATTTG